ATATAAATATAAATACAGATACAGATAAATACACATACACAGATACAGATGCAAATATAAATACAGGTACACAGGTACAGGTACAAGTACAGATACAGACACAGATAAATACAGATAAATACAAATACAGAGATACAGACACAGATATACAGATACAGATACACAGTACAGATACAGTTATGGATACAGATACAGATAAATACAGATAAATACAAATACAGAGATACAGACACAGATATACAGATACAGACAGATAAATACAGATACAGACATAAATAGAGACACAGATACACAGATAAATACAGATACACAGATACAGACACAGATACACAGATACAGATAAATACAGATAAAAACACAGATACACAGAGATGCAGGTGCAGGTACAGATACAGATAGAGATACAGGTACAGATACACGATAGAGATACAGGTACAGGTACAGGTACACAGATACAGATAAATACAGATAAATAAAGATAAGTACAAATACACAGATAGAGATACAGATAAATACAGATACAGACACAGATACACAGATACAGATAAATACAGATAGAGATAGAGATGCAGTTACAGATACACAGTGGAAATACAGATGCAGATACAGGTACAGGTACACAGACACAGATAAATACAGATACACAGATAGAGATACAGATAAATCCAGATAAGTACAGATAAATACAGATAGAGATACAGATACACGATAGAGATACTGATGCAGATACAGATACACAGATACAGATAAATAAAGATAAATACAGATAAATCCAGATACACAGAGATACAGATAAATCCAGATAAGTACAGACACAGATCACAGCCACAGCATAGAGATACTGATGCAGATACACAGATACAGCTGTGGGTGGGTGCAAGCCATGGCAATCCCCTGTGCTGCCATCACCAAAATGCTGATGTTTGAAGGATCATTTTAGCAAAAAACCCCTTTTGCTCCTGATTCTCTGTGTTTATTTCTCATGTATAAGTTATGAAATTTAAATGTTCAGAAATGAAGCAGATTCCCTAGGCTTGCAGTGGGGCTCAGTTATCACCTCCTGTGATTGGCTTTAGAGGTAGAAATGATAGGAATTACTACAGACAACTATGGACAATTCTTTTGACAGAGAATCAAAGCCCTTTTTTGAAGAAGAGTTTAAGATGTGCAAACCTGGGACTCTCAGAGGAATCAGATCTTCCATAAAAGAGTCCAAAGTAAAACTTACTTATTTTCAGTTGCACTAGCAAAGGAATCCTGGGATCTTGTGCAGGAGACCTCTGCTAAAAATCCCAGGTTTCAAACAGATTATCCAGATCAGAGTTAACACCACCAGCCCTACAAATTGAGAATATTCCCTGTTAAAGCCCTTTGTGCCTGAGGGTCTCCTTAGTCCCAGCCATGCCAGGGAACACGATGGGTGTCAGTGTGTCTGTCCTTACCCTGTGCACTCCCTTCTGCCTCCCCAGATCTTCCAGAAACCCCTGATGGAGTCTGAGCTGGTCACAGAAAAAGAAGTTGCCATGATTTTTGTTAATTGGAAGGAGCTGATTATGTGCAATATAAAACTACTGAAGTAAGTTGGATTTTTTTTCCCCCCCATCCTTCACAAAAACAGAACCCCGGGCCTCTCCCCCTGCTTCTCCTTTTGTGTGCATGGAAACATTTGCCACTTGCTCAAATCCTGCCCAGAAGGGCCACGTGTTTCTCCTGAAGGGAAAAAACAAACTGGGGGCAGTGATTGCTGGGAGCTGCTGGGAAGAACCCAAAGGCAGATCTCTGCCCTTTGCACTCCCTCTGTTCCTGCTCCAGAAGGCAAATCCTCCTCTGGACTTTGTTTCCAAGGGATTTTGCTTTATATTCACGATCAGTTTTATTAAAACCTCAATTCTTTTGGAGCTTTAGTGACTTCACTTTCTGTCCCCTTGAGCCCACTGAGCACACTTTATTCCCATAACCAAAATGACTGGTGACAGTGAATTTTTCCTTAGGAAAACCAGGCTAAAAACTCAAAGTGATGGGGTTTTCCCCCCCCCTCACTCACACATCAGTAACTCTCTTTCTAACCCAATAGAAAAGGAAATTACCCTCCTCTTTCTGTCACCTCTGATCTGGCATTGAAGGCAAGCACAGCTGGATTTCCAGGAGAGGGACAGGTTCTGGCTGAGGGTGCAGCCTGGGTTTTTGTATCCTTGCAGTAAATCTTGTGGCTGATGTATTTATCCTTCTCTGGGTTTCCATAATGAACAAGAACCCACCCCTTTATTCCATAACTGAGGAGTGGCTCTTTGTCCAACCCCGTGCCCTGCTCCTGCTCAGGGCCCTGCGTGTGAGGAAGAAGATGTCAGGGGAGAAGATGCCAGTGAAGATGATTGGGGACATCCTGACAGCCCAGCTGCCCCACATGCAGCCCTACATCAGGTTCTGCAGCTGCCAGCTCAACGGGGCTGCCCTCATCCAGCAGAAAACTGATGAAGTGCCCGACTTCAAGGAGTTTGTCAAGGTAAGAGAAGCAGAAACCCCTGGGGATTCTCTGCATCCTCTCACCTGGCTGAGCTGCTGGAGAAATGAGGCCCCAAAGGAGAGTTGTGTCCACTGCTGGGTCACTCACTTGGACTTGGAGGGGCTGGAGTGTGTCCAGGGAAGGGAACAGAGCTGGGAATGGGCTGGAGAATTCCTGAAGGGGCTGGAGAATTCCAGAGGGAGCTGGGAAAGGAGAAAAGGAGGCTCAGGGGGGACCTTGTGGCTCTGCACAAGTCCCTGGCAGGAGGGGCAGGCAAAGGAGGAGAGGAAATGGCCTCAAATTGCAGCAGGGCAGGCTCAGGGTGGAGATTGGCAAAGAAAATTTCCCTGGCAGAGTGGTCAGGCCTTGGGATGAGCTGCCCAGGGAGGTTTGCAGTCACTGTCTGTGGGAGTGTTCAGGAGCAGGCTGGATGTGGCCCTTGGGGACAGGGTTTGGGGGATGCTGCTGGCACTGGGGTGGCACTGGAGGATCCTGGAGGCTCCTCCAGCCTTGGTGATTTTGGGATTCTTGTCCAGACAAGGCAGGTGAAGAAGTCTTGTGAAAACCACGAGGAGTTCTCCTGCTGATGTTGTGATCTCAAAGCAGATTTAGCTGGGGATTGATGCTCCTTTATTGCCTTCCCTTTTCCTTTCCTGGAGGAGCTCATTGTTCAGGGTTTCAAGCACCTGACTGACCAGATTTTACCTCTCTGATGTTTCAGAGGTTGGCAATGGATCCTCGCTGTAAAGGAATGCCACTGTCAAGTTTTCTACTGAAGCCTATGCAACGGGTAACCAGATACCCACTAATAATTAAAAATGTACGTTCCTTTGCACACGTGGTGGGTTTGGTGCTGCTTTGCTTACACCTTAATTACAGGGTTGGTTCCTTGTTTGTGTCAGGCTTTGTCACTGTGAGATTTCTGATGTGCTGGGGAATGTGGGGTGTCCTTTAATCCTCTATTCCAGTATAGGAAATGGGATCATTCCTTGGGCTTTGGCAAAATTATTCAATATTTTCATTTGAGGCAGAGGTGAAGCTTGCACCCAAAGAATCAGAAGGCAGAGAGTGCTGAGTGAAAATTTAAAATTCAGATAACAGGAGCAACAAGACACCCTTGTGCTCATATTTGCCTCTCCCCTCAGTGCCATTCCCTGCCCAGGGGCTGGCAGGTGATGCTGAGCCTGGGTTGCTGCAGGTTCCTCCTGTGCAGGTGATGGTGCTGGAAGATTTACAGCCCTTCCCAAATTTCCATTTGTGTTTAACACTTCCCATCCCAAATAACAGCATGGGGCAATGGAGCACGGCCCAGGGCTCTCACAGGGAATTATGAACTGGGGGTTGGTGTTGAAGGGATTCCTTCAGCTGCATTTCAGTGTTTGGCTGCAATGTTGTGCTTCTGCCAGGGGAGCCAGCAGTGTCGTGGTGCAAGGGCTGTGCAGGCAGGCCTGCAATCCAGCTCTCCCCACACTGTGCTTGTCTCCCTTTCCCGTGTCTGCCAGGGAGGAAAACAAACCCGGGGGGTGTTGGCTGTCCCTAAAACCTGCAGGGCAGCGTGGGGCTGCCAGGGGAGAGCAGTGCCTGATGCTGGGCTTGTGTGTGTGCAGATCATAGAGAACACCCCTGAGAACCACCCTGACCACAGCCACCTGAAGCAGGCCCTGGAGAAGGCAGAGGAGCTGTGCTCACAGGTCAACGAGGGCGTGAGGGAGAAGGAGAACTCGGACAGGCTGGAGTGGATCCAGGCCCACGTGCAGTGCGAGGGCCTGAGCGAGGTAACGGCCACGGGACACTGCTGGGACACTGCTGGGACACTGCTGGGACACTGCTGGGACACTGCTGGGACACCCAGCTGCCACCCACAGCAACGCATCTTCATCATCATCATCATCATCATCATCATCATCAACATCAACATCATCATCAACATCCTCAACACATCATCATCATCAACATCAACATCATCATCATCATCAACATCACATCATCAACATCATCATCAACATCCTCAACATCCTCAACACATCATCATCAACATCCTCAACACATCATCATCATCAACATCAACATCACATCATCAACATCAACACAGCAACACATCTTCATCATCATCATCCTCATCATCATCAACACATCACCATCACATCATCATCATCGTCAACACATCTTCATCATCACATCATCATCATCACCCTATCACATCATCACCCATCACCCCAGCCCCTGTCCCCACCTGTCCTTGCCTCCCTGCCCTCCTGCACACCACCCTGGCTGCCACCCTGGTTGTCACCCTGGTTGTCACCCTGGCTGCTGTTCCTGCCCTTGGGGTCACTCCTGCTTGGTTGCTTGGCTCTGCACCAGTCCTGGCTTCAGTGCTGCAATCTGCCACCACAGTTTGCCATTTCCCAGTTCTTTGTGGCACAGTGGTTGTGGGGCTGCTGTACCTGACCACTTTGGAGTGCTTTAAAAACCAAATATTTAGGAATATTTTCTGGGATAAAGCTTTGTATGCATTTGAAAACTCAAGAATACTGATCAGGTCTCTGGAGATTTTACAGAGAGAATGTCTGCCTCCCATGCCATGTTATTTTTTATGGTTATGTGATAAGTTTCTAGAAATATTGTGTTTGTCCTGCAAAAGGAGGGAAGATAATCTGATGGCCTTCCTGTTGTTGGTGGAGGTAACAGAGGCAGACAGATCACAACTTGATTTTCAAACTATGCACCATTCTAGAAGGTAGAAAAACAATGAGCACTGGTTGGTTCATAAAGTAGGAGAATTGCATTTCAGCTGAGGAAGTCTGGCTGTTCTGGGAGAAGGAATGTGTGACAATGTCAGCACGTTCAGCTCTCTGCCAACCCCTGCCTGAAGGAAAGGAGCTGCTTTTGTCTTCTGTAGATGGTGCCTGGCCCCAGGAGAGCAGATCCACACCCTGGCAGAGCCTGTGGTGCTCACTGCCACCCTAATGCCAGCAGAGCAGCCCCTCCACACCCCTCTGCCCAGGGTGCTGAGAGCTGTGCCCTCCCTGGAGAAAATAAACCTGGAAATGGCACTTCAGGCAAGGGCAGGACTCTGCTGATCCCTCCCAAGGCCTGGCTGAGGCTGGGATTGTTGCTGTCCCTGTGCTCAGCAGCTCTGACTCGGGGTGTCGTGGCCATCTGGAATCCTTTGGGGTGTTTTTAGGGGTGAAATTCAAACCCAGTTCAGAATTAAGGAATAAAGGAACAATTCAGAATGCAGCCCTTAAGGAAGCTCAGCCTGTGGAGAGGCTGCTCACAGAGCTGCTGCTCAGCCAGGCCAGGTGCCCTGGCTCAGCCCCACTCCTGGAGCTGCATGTGAGTGCCCAGGGGGGCTCTGATGCTCTTGGCTTCCCCTGCCCAGCCCCGTGAGCAGGGGCTGCCTTCGGGGGACCCCACGGAGCCTCCTGTGCCCTGTGCTGCTTGTGGTGCTCGAGGCATGGCTGGTGAGCCCTGTGACACACACTGGAGCCAGGACTCAAACCTGTATTTGGTCTCTTGCAGGGCAGCCCCGATTGTTTCACTTTATACAGTGCGTTGTTGTTCTTCTTCTACTTTTCGCAGCAACTCGTTTTTAATTCAGTTACAAACTGCTTGGGACCACGCAAGTTCCTGCACAGTGGGAAGCTCTATAAAGCCAAGAGTAACAAGGAGCTCTATGGTTTTCTCTTCAACGACTTCCTCCTCCTCACTCAGATCATAAAACCTCTTGGCTCTTCGGGCACAGACAAGGTGTTCAGCCCCAAGTCCAACCTGCAATACAAAATGTACAAAACTGTAAGTGCTGCTCCCACACGGGGTGGGGACAGGGCTCGGTAGCTCCGTTCTGGGGGTGTGGTTTGGGCAAAAGCCTCCCCAGAGGAGAGGTTTGGAAGCTTTGGGGGTCAGGGGCTGATGGCAGGGATGGGGGCTGTGTGCTCTATGGGATAAGAAGAGATGCTTTGGAGGTTTTGCTTGAATTAAACTTTTCCACGGGGGCTCGTGTTTGAGGGAGCAGAGGGAGAGGAAACTCTGCTGTGCTTGGCTTCTCCAGAAAACTCTGCTGTGCTTGGCTTCTCCAGAAAACTCTGCTGTGCTTGGCTTCTCCAGGAAATTCTGCTGTGCTTGGCTTCTCCAGGAGTGTTTCCAGGCTATGCAGGCACCTCTGTCTTTGTCAGCTTTTAAAATGTTCTGCAGAAAGATGGGAGGCAGAGGGGGGAGGTACTTGGGGCATGGAATGAAGCTGCTGTGAGCTGATGTGTGCTGACTGCCCCTGTGCACACTCTGCAGTACAACTCCAGCTCTGCTGATGTTTTACAGCCCATTTTCCTAAACGAGGTACTGGTGAAATTACCCACAGACCCTTCTGGAGACGAGCCCATCTTCCACATCTCCCACATTGACAGAGTGTACACACTCCGTGCTGAAAGCATTAATGAAAGGTAAGTGCCTTGGTGGGCCTTGAAAAGGTCTGGTGAATGTAGGGTGGGAATGGCTGTGATGGAAAATTGCAGAGTTGTCTCCAAGCTGGTTATTTTACAAGACTGGAAAATTCCTTCTTGGGAATGGGGTGATGTGAAAAGGAGGGAGAAATAATGGTGTTTCCTGAATTCCATCTAGACCAGTGATGAAATGGCTGAGGGTGGATGTTTAGGCTGAATTTCACATTTTGTGATAATGCAAAGAAGCCAAAAGATGCAATTCTGTTTTCTGCTGTTACCTGGGATGGTGGAAGGTGTCCCTGCCCATGGCAGGGAGTGGGGCTGGATGAGTTTTAGGATGCCCCAACCCAAACCATGAATGTCCTGTGTTCCAAACTGATCCACAGCTTCCAGATCCTCCCATGTCTCCTTGACTCAGGCTCCCTTTTGTGTCACAGCAGCTCTTCTAAGCCCTTGAGGTCACTTAGGAGCCCTTCTGCCACTTCTTTTCTCTGCCAGCCTTTGCCCTCAGCTCCTCCAGGCACAGCTGGTATTGTTGACTCAGTGATCCATGTGGGTCCCTCCCAGCTCAGGATGTTCTGTGATTCTTAAGCATGAAATTATTTCCCACAAGGGCCCAGGACTCCCCAGGTTATGCTTTTGAAATCCCAAGAGTCAGAAGAATTGGATAAGAAATCTCAGGGACCCAGGACAGTGCAGCACCAGTGTCTTGGACCTCCTGGCTCCAAGAAATCAGTTTATTTCAGGGAAACAAAGGGCTGGATGAAAGCAAACCTGTTCTTTAGACCTGTTTTCTCACCAAGCATCTCCTGCTCGTGGTTCTCTTGAGTTTTCTTTGTGTGGTGGGGTTTGCTGCCTTGGGATGGTTACATTATACTGACACAGAGGTGCTGTGAATTCCAGTGAGATCCCTTCCAGGCAGACATCTGTGGGATGGCAGAGCCTGGCATGGGAAAGAGGGAAGGCTTTAGTGTTGTCTGCTGTGCTCCAGCAGGGAAAAAGGGAAATGGCATTTTGCAACTTCTTTTTCTCCTTTCCTTCTGAAGGACTGCCTGGGTTCAGAAGATCAAAGCTGCTTCAGAACTTTACATAGAGACTGAAAAGAAGAAGAGGGAAAAGGCCTACCTAGGTACAGCACAGGATGTGGGGGTCTCATGTTTAGTGGAAAAGTCCCTGGGCAGGAAATGCCGTGGGTGACATTGCTCTGTGCTCTTCTGTCCCACCACAGTTCGCTCTCAGAGGGCAACAGGCATTGGGAGGCTGATGGTGAACGTGGTGGAAGGCATTGAACTGAAACCCTGCAGGTCCCATGGTGAGTGCCTTGCCTTTCTTTGCTCCATCCACAGGAAATTCCCAATTCCCAGCCCAACTCTGCAGGGCTTCTGTCCCAGACATGATTTTGTTAAATGCCCTGGGTTTCATGAAGGTAAATTAGGCAGAGGTGAATTTGTTCAGCTGAGCCCTGCTCCTGCAGTTGTCCTGCACGAGGCTTTTGTTTCAGGCTGCTTTAGTTTCCACCACACAAGGCATAAAATCCTGGAGGGAGGAGTGGAGGGTGCTGAGCAGAGCAGAGCATTCACTGTGATGTTCTTGCAGCCCCTTACAGGGACAGGACCAGAGCCTGGTGTGGCCAAGGTCTTTGCCAGCTGTCTTGGTTTGAAAGAAAGATGTTTGCTAAAAAAGGCAGGAACCTCTCTTGAAATGGAAAATGTAAACCCTCTCCCTCCAAATTAGTGTAATTTTGAAATTAAGGGTTTTTTAGGCAAAGATATGGTAATGTGAATCAGTTTTTTTATTAGGAAAAATTAAAACAGAAATAGAGCATTACAAAAAAACCAAACCTAAACCAATGGCAGAGTCAGAATACAGCCTGACACCTTGTCAGTCAGGATGTTGGTAGCAGTGCCATTGAATGTGGCTGTCGTTTTTTTGGAGTGACAGATGTGGTTCTGTTGAAGCAGTGGTTTTGTAGAAGGGTGTAGTTTTTTTTTTTTGAAGGTTCAGTGATGATGTGGAAAGGTTTGGTTTTCTTCTGGACTCTAGTGGAAAAAGGCTGCTTTGGTGTTTTAAATTTCAGTTTTTATTTAGATGGGAAATGCTTGGCCCCTCCCCATGGGTGGAGCATTTCACAATGGGATGATGTAATTTTATTACTTATATAGTGGGACTCAATGGCTCATTAACAGAAGATATTTAATTGGAGGAAAGATGGGTTGTGGTAAAGATAAAGAACACTGCTTTATTTGGTTTTTAACAGGTGGCCTATTAACAGAGAGAAGGATTATTGCCTTGCTTGGTTTTAACAGATGGTGATAGAATAAACACCCCTGGGTATATTTTGTTGGCTGCTGGAGCAGAAGGAAGCTCAGGAGCAGGATCACTAAAAAATCCCATTCATTTCTCTTTGTTCCCCTTTTCCCAGGAAAGAGCAACCCCTACTGCGAGGTGACCATGGGCTCTCAGTGCCACATCACCAAGACCATCCAGGACACCCTGAATCCCAAGTGGAATTCCAACTGCCAGTTCTTCATCAAGGACCTGGAGCAGGACGTGCTGTGCATCACGGTGTTCGAGCGGGACCAGTTCTCCCCGGATGGTGGGTATGGGGCTGCCCCTGCCCAGGCCTTCTGCAAAGATCTTTTTTGAGGAGGAGCATCCCTGCTGAGGCAAAGCAGGGGCAATGGGCTGGGTTGGGAGATGATTTTTAAAGATAGCCCAGATTTGACCCTCTTTGCATATTTAGGAGTTGACTTAGCCTCGCTCCACCCCAATATCAGCACAAAAAAGATGCAGCTCCCTCTGGGTTTTGAGAATTTCTTTTCTTGTGCACTTGACAACAACTAAAATGTGGTTTTGTAATTCTGCTAGAGTCCAGAAAGCTCTGGGTGCTGCTTGCACACAGATGGGTTCAGGAGGAGGAAGAGAAATGACTTTGAGTTCCTGTTGTATGCAATAACAGCAGCAAAAATGAGCCCAGGATTCCAAACCCGATGGAATCATGGAACAGTTTGGCCTGAAAGGACCTTAAAGATCATCCAGTTCCAGTCCTTTCCATGGGCAGGGACACATTGCACTATCCCACGTTGCTCCAAGCCCCATCCAGAGTGGCCTTGAACACTTCCAGGGAATGGGAATTCCTCTTATTCTTATTTCATAAGCTGAGATAAACGTGGGCCGTGACATGTTTATTTTGTATTTTGGGTGTATTTTGGAGTCACAATCTCTCAGACAGTGTTTGTTTTGGACTGTTACTGGCTCATTGACCTCATTGCTGGGCTGATGCCTTACTTGGCTCTGTCACCTCCAGCAGGTTCACACTCAGGTTTGACTGAGAACTTTGGCCTTCTGCTAACATATCATAAAACCAAGAAGTCCCTGAAGTGAGGCAGCTGTGAATTCCACTGTGGGATTTTCCACTCATGGACCCATTTAGTTTTAATGCTGCTGCTGTTTAACGTGGTCTGGCTAAATCCCCTTCTATGCAGCTTGGCAGCCTTTGGCCAAGTGCAGAGCTGGAGTTGGACTGAGGGTTTCTTTTCTCTCTTGGTGTGTGTGGGTGGAAGTTCAGGTCCTTCTGCAGACCCTGGCTTCCCTTTGCTGAGCACGCTGTGTTTCTGCATTGCAGACTTTTTGGGCAGGACAGAGATCCGTGTGGCAGACATCAAGAAGGACCAGGGTTCCAAGGGACCAGTTACAAAGTGTCTCCTCCTGCACGAAGTCCCCACGGGAGAGATCGTGGTGCGCCTGGACCTGCAGCTGTTCGATGAGCCTTAGGACACAGGGGCTGCTGTGGGAATTGAGCCCGAGCTGCCTGCAGGAGGCTCTGCAGGAGCCGTCACCGAGCCCTTGCTGGTGTGGCACGAAGCTACTGCTCGCCCTTCACACGTCAGAGGGTTATCAAAGCAAACAGGAGCATCTTTGTGCCTTGATAATTCTCACTGAACACACGAATCCCAATTTAGTGAGGAGATCTCTCTCAATCTCTCTGTGTGGAACTTGGTGTTGGTTTCCTGGGCTGGTGAAACAACCCTGTTGTTCCTTGTGCTGCAGTTGGGATGGCTGGCAAACCACATGGGTGGCTGTGCTTGCTCCAGCTTCTCTCCCATCCCCGCGGAGGAGGCAGTGTGGGTGTGTTTTGGAGGCTTTCTGAGGGTTTTCCCCCTTCAGGAGTTCTGTGCCTATTGCTCAGCAGAGTGGTGTGCAAATGTGAGTGAATGGAAGGAGCAGTTTCACAGCAAGAAGATCTCAGAAGATCTTCATGATGGTACTGCAAAGACTTAGAAAATAAATAGTCTATATCTATAAACAGAGAAGATTCTATTAACATACCACTTCATGACTCGTGTTGCCCCTGACAATAAAAAGATGTCCAGGCCTTGTGCACAGAGATGAATTGCACTCAGAAGAGTCCAGCCCTGGGTCCCTTTGGAAGTCGCTGTTGTGCCCAGCACTGCAGGAGCTGGGGCAGGAGGCCAAGGGCGAGGCACAGAGCCCTGCTGGCTGCTGTGGGCAACTCCTGGCTGCTCCTTCACTGCTGCTGCTGCCAGGGCTGAGCCTCACCCGCAGTGGGGAAGAAGAAACAATCGCGGCTCCAGCTCAGGAAGCCAAGCCCAGCGTGCAGAGCAGAGCAGAGCAGTGTGTGGTGCCCAGGTGTGCAGCTGAGCCCTGCTCACCTGGGCAGCTTCAGGGGAGCCCCCCAGGGAGGGGGCTGGATGCACCAGAGAGCTCTGGAGTGCACAGTGGAGATCCCAGAGCCAGCCAGGGGGGCAGTGCCAGGGCTCTCCATCCCTTTCACTCCATGGATAACAACATCCAGGCTCACATCCCAGTTTGGCAGAGCTCTGGCTCCAGGCAGGCACCCCCGGGCACGCTGTGGGTGCTCTGCTGAGCCTGGGCTCGGGGAGGAGAGATCCCCGAGAGGCAAATTCCTCTTTGTTCTGCTTGGATTCCTTTTGTCCACGCCCTGCCACACATCCACTGGTATTTTTGTAAGGACTTCATTCCGGAGGGGAGGTGCCAGCCCGTGTCATTCGCATGTGACCGTTCTCGTGGAGCTGTTGTTAGGTTTTGGTGTTCCTTGCATGTCCTCTCAGTACTGGTTCCCACCTCTCCTGTGTCGGCGGTGTTCTCTAGCACTCCAAGTCTTATTGGTTTCCATTAGGAAATTAGGATATATCCATAACAGGTAGGTAGATCAGTATGGTAATAAGTGTAAACTGTGCTGGGAAGTGTCTGTGTATTATAATTTCCTAAAAGACCACTGTAATGTTTCAAGCAACGGGAAGGAAAAAAAAATGTATGTTGGAGGGACAACAAAGTTTACATTTCATACTTTTCAGAATCGCTTTATTATTTATTTATTGAAGATAGTGTAGAATTTTGTATCAGAAATGACAGACATACTTATGTATTTTTTGAAACAAAACAGAGATACACACTTTAGTTAGAAACTTTCAACTGACCACATTTTAGAGGGAGTGTGACTTCCTAGGCATGCATTTGTTTACCACTAACTGGCTGAAAACACGATTAAGAGAACTTTAAGTTTCTATTTTTCAATGTTGTTAAGAAAATGGTTTCAATTAAAAGATGTAAATAGTACTAAACCCATGCTTTCCTAATTCCATATCAATACATTTTATGAAATATAATGTATATGAAAATACACATTGTTGTGGTAGGATAAAAAAAGTGATAAAATCTATTACTGGAGTACCATTAAATGTCATTGTCTAACCTTTTATTGCTGTGCTAATTTTACTCAGTGCTGCCAACAGGGTGAACATTGATTTCAGTGTTTCACAAGTAGTGTCACTTTATTAATAGTGTCATTTCACCAGCATTAATTACACTGACAGCTGAACTGGCCAACAGGACAAAAAAAAAAAACCCTCGTGGCTGGAATGCAGGAACCTCAGGCAGGGTTTTGGAGGGAGCCCCAAGGAGCTGCACTTACCTGAGGCTCACCTGGTGCTGCAAGTGGGGGACCCTTCACTGTCTCAGATTGCGACCCGTGTCACGGACATCCCAGAATCCCAGACTGGGTTGGGTTGGAAGGGACTTTAAATCCCACCCAGAGCCACCCCTGCCATGGCAGGGACACCTCCCACTGTGCCAGGCTGCTCCAGCCCCATCCAACCTTGGGCACTGCCAGGGAAGTGCTGTACCAGCCTGTACAATTGCTCTGTGGAATTGTGACAGAAGCAGCACCTTCCCAGCCCCAGCACTTGGCATGTCCCCTTCCCCTCGATGGCACTGTCACCTCCATCAGTGCCACCGGGGGTTAGTCACTCATGGATGAGGAAAGGCTGGAGTTTGGCTCACAGATACCCAATGAATCCCTCACGATCAGCCCAGTCCTAAAGGGGAGGCTCCTCCTGGGCCTGTGCACCAA